GCATGGCTTCATAAAAACACTGCAGGATTTCTCAAACATGATGAATGAGTCAGAGCAAGGCGTGTTTTTTATGAGAGTATAACATTATAACATGATTTAAAACTCAAAACAGTTGATTTTATATGATATTGCCCCTTTAACATCAACGGTCTTTTAAAGCTTTATGTATTATCACATGAAGCCATTTTTTTATTGCTCCTCACCGTGTTGAAGCAACGTTCTCTCATTTCCACGTTTGTTTTGTTGCAGAGTTCTCTAAACTGTGGTTAAACTGAATTATACTTGAATTTAAAGAGGTCTGATATGAACAGAGCTTCTTGCAGTTTGTGCTCCGTGGCCTCGCTGTCGTTTGTAATCAAACTAACAAGTCTGCATGGAGGGAGACAGGCCTTGTAGTGGTTTCTTCTCTCTCCTCCTCTGTTAGCTCTGCCTCTGGCTGACGGTGGAGCTGACAAGCTCTGGTGTCAGGTCCAGTTTAGCACTTGAAGGCAGGACGCGTCACACTTTCTCTCCGGGCTGTCTCACTCCCAAGGTGAGTCATGCCTCGTCACGGCTCCTACAGAGACGTGAGCCATCACGTTGCTCTGGTCGACGTCCAGCGCCTAATAGCCCTGTCGTGATTTGTCAGGAAAAATACTCATCTGCTGAGGAGGGCAATCACTTACAGCAAGGTTGGAGTGTTTGTGTTGGAGAGGAGAGGAAGAGCTCCAAACGTAAATCTGTGCTGTCACAGCGTGTCGGAGTCTTAGCTCAGTCTGCTGGATGTGAGGCTTTAAATCGATACGCGCAGTTTGCAGCTGAGGGAGAAAGTTTGTGCAAAAGCAAGACTAATTCCTGCATTGTTGTTGTCCTGAGACACCTTCATGAAAAGGTGCGTTTCTTGAAATAAGTCATATCTTTAATAATAATCCATATTTACTGGATGTTCTTTCAGCTGTTCCTGTCTTCATCTGTCAGCACAAAGTGGACTCACATGAATGATCTGGTCAGTTTTCAGAGGTGGATAATAAAGTACAGTTACTTTGTTACAGTGCTTAAAGTGGACATTTAAATCTTTTTTCATATTTAAATCCTTCACTTGGGTCTTTATAATGTAGAACTGCAATGCTTTGGCCTGAATTCCCCTTTTCTGGGGTGTGCAACTTCACAAGTCCTGCCCCTTTTCTGGGGTGTGCAACTCCACAAGTCCCGCCCCTTTTCTGGGGTGTGCAACTCCTCAAGTCCCACCCCTTTTCTGGGGTGTGCAACTCCTCAAGTCCCACCCCTTTTCTGGGGTGTGCAACTCCTCAAGCCCTGCCCCTTTTCTGGGGTGTGCAACTGCACAAGTCCCGCCCCTTTTCCGGGGTGTGCAACTCCACAAGTCCCGCCCCTTTTCTGGGGTGTGAAACTCCACAAGTCCCGCCCCTTTTCTAGAATGTGCATCTCCACAAGCCCCACACTTTTCTGGGGTGTGTGTCTCAGATCCAGTTGTTTTGATGCTGTCTCATTTAATCCAAATAAGGCACTTTAAACCCCGCCCCCTCCAGCTTCCAGACCGGTTTATTCCAGTTTGATAGAGGGGTTTACGACTATATAGCCTTGAGTTTGACACGTGACCTTGTAGATCAGTGACACACATGAACAGAATGTGTGTCAGCTTTCACCCTCAACTGTGAACAATAATGTTGATCAATTTAAAGAGCTCAGTTAGTGTTTCGAAATGTAGCCCATAAATTTAGCAAGTGCTAATCCACTAATGAATTTAAAAAATAACTAAAACCCTAAAGCACTAAACAATAAATTAGTTCCCCTATTAGTGCTTTAGTGCTTTAGGGGAGGCGGCACGGTGGCTCATTTGGTAGAGCTGTGTGTGTAGAGAGTGAATGGTTGTTTGTCTTGTTTGTCTCTATGTGTGGCCCTGTGATGGACTGGAGACCTGTCCAGGGTGTACCCCGCCCCTCGCACTGTGACTGCTGGATATGGGCACCAGTGACCCACGCAACCCTGAAAAGGAAGAAGCGTGTACAGAAAATGGATGGATGGATGGATGCTTTAGGGGAACTGTGCCCACCGCTGCCAGTAACCAGACTGTGTGTCRGTTCATCCTGTCTGCAGAAAGAGTTCCTGACAGCGACGACAGAAAAGGACATCTTTGACCATCTGGGTTTGGACTACGTGGAGCCTTGGCAGAGGAACGCGTAGACCCGCTCTCCACCCTGGATGGATGAGACCCTCATCAGTGATCCCACCATCTGCTCGCTGCTGGGACTCACAAACTCTTTGTGTTGCTGTTTTCAGTTTGTCTGGATGGGGCTCTGATGTGATTCAGGCTTCAGCTTCTCTTCTGTCTGACGCTGAATAAACATTTCTCCTGCAGCACTCTGCCCGTCTCTGTGTCGTAAACACCGGCAGGATAAAAAACACAAATCAGCGGCAGCGCAGGAATCACCTGCAGCTCCTGGGGGGTTTAGAGTGAGGGGGTGACCGCTGAATAACAAGGAGGGCGAGGGGGGAAACAGGAAGTGTTTAGGCGAGGACGAAGGGAGGCTTTTTGTTGAGCAGAATGTTGTAATCACCCTCCTCCTGACAGGGAAGTGCTCCACGTGAAGCTGAGCCAGGGCTCCGGGGGGACGGAGGAGCAGGTAATGAGCATGGGATAGACGAGTGCTTCGTGTTGCTTTTAGCCTCTATTTAAGCCCCACGTTCACTGGAGATCATTTAACTGGAATTCCCCGATTCACAGACCCCCGCTCTCTGCTCATTGTTCCACAGTTAATGCCCCTCCCTGGATGGTCGGCTGAATCGGAGGTAATCAGCTGCACCAGGGACTCGTGGAGAATTCAGATGGAAGGAAATGAGTCCAATAATAACAAGCATCCAAAGCTGCCATTATTCTCTTCCTTTGCCTTTTATTGTTTGTCTTGTCAGAGTRATTTTTCACAACAATGACTCTTTAATGAGTAACCTGCTCTGTTCTGTTCATCTTTAGTTTACACAACAAAACATCACTTTAAACACACAAATAACTCCGACTGGAACAGAAACAAAAATAACCAGAGAACAAAAACTCTGGGTCTGAGTCGCCTGACTGTCTTCAGTCTGAGCAGAAGCTGCCGACATGTCTCTTTAAAAAAGCTAATGCTAGGCTAACGCTAAGCTAATGCTTCAAACCTCAAGCGACCAAACTAAAGGGCCCAGTTTACTTTAACGTATGCTGCGTTCCAGCTGTCCTCGCAGGTCGTAGCTTCGAGCCTCCGAGTTCTATTTTTCAACTGGAACGCCCCCTGAAGTCGTAGTTTTGCGTCGGGAGGTCGGCGCATCCAAACCYTACCCGAGCAGCCCGAGCGTGCGTTACGTCATCATTTCAACATGGCTGCTGCGCGCATGTTTCTCTAAGCTAACGGCTAATGTTGAGCTGTAAACAAACGTACACAATCAACTTCCCCATTATTTAACAGACAGAAKGTAAGAAGAGAAGAGGCAGAATAAAAATGAGTGTAATTTGTTTGTTTAATGTATGTAGCATACTAGCATGCTTGTCCAAGCTAACCGCTAACATTGTTACTCTTGCATGTAAACAAACGCGGCTTTATAGTTTGTTTATTTTACATTACGTCAGACATGTAGTGCTTTATAGTGATAGTTAAAATATATGTTTTAACACTGTTTGTACACTCAAAATACCTCGTAGAGCACTATTATTGTACGTTTTATTGTTGCAGAGGAAAATAATAGAAAAGCTTTTTCCGATGTTTGAAACTGGAACACTATCAGCTCAGAAATGATGTCAATCCGGTTTCAGGATTTCGAGTTCCGATACAACTGGAACGCAGCTTAAATCCAAAGAGTCGACACATGGCGCCAAGCTCCTGGAAGCCCCTCCCACTGCAGGAAACAACACTGCACAACGAGTCTACACTGCAGAAAAACCCTCTGACATCTGAGGTTCTGTGTCGCTTTTAGAGCTCCAGTTAGTATCTTTTTATCTCCATCTAGGAGTTTCTGACCGTTTGAGCATCTTTATAAATGTTTGCTTCTCGGCTACAACAGTCAGACTCTGGAAGCAAGAAGCTGAAGCTAAATGTAACGTTTGAGGCTTTCAGCACAAACACACCCACCTGCTCCTGACCAATCACACAGCCAGGTCTTATGAGCGGGGCGGGGTTATGACAGGAAGGAGCAGAAGATTTGAAGCTACAAACAAAATGATGCAATTTTCATCACGAAACTGTGACAATGAACTGATTTGAGCCGTTCKGAAGCAACATGTGGATCAGGAAGATGAACCTGGTGATGTTCTTGAAATTCCATAAAATTCTGTCTGAGCTGATCAAGTCCATTTTTATCATCAAAACAAAGTCATGGATGGATGGATGGATGGATGACAAGTTGGATGGGAAGTTGGATGGATGGATGGATGGACAGTTGGATGGGCAGTTGGATGGATGGATGGACAGTTGGATGGGCAGTTGGATGGATGGATGGACAGTTGGATGGGCAGTTGGATGGATGGATGGACAGTTGGACGGATGGATGGATGATGGATGGATGGACAGACGGATGGACAGTTGGACAGCTGGATGGACAGCTGGATGGATGGACAGTTGGTTGGACAGTTGGACGGATGGATGGATGGACAGCTGGATGGACAGTTGGATGGATGGATGGACAGTTGGATGGACAGTTGGATGGACACTTGGACAGATGGATGGATGGTTGATGGATGGATGGACAGTTGGACAGATGGATGGATGGCTAGATGGATGGACAGTTGGATGGACAGTTGGTTGGATGGCTAGATGGATGGACAGTTGGTTGGATGATGGATAGATGGACAGCTGGATGGACAGTTGGATGGATGGACAGTTGGATGGATGGATGGACGGATGGACAGTTGGTTGGATGGCTAGATGGATGGACAGTTGGATGGACAGTTGGATGATGGATGGACAGTTGGATGGATGGATGGATGGACGGATGAACAGTTGGTTGGATGGCTAGATGGATGGAAAGTTGGATGGACAGTTGGATGGATGGATGGATAGTTGGACAGCTGGATGGACAGTTGGATGGATGGATGGACAGTTGGACGGGTGGATGGATGGATGGATGGATGGATGATGGATGGACAGTTGGATGGACAGTTGGACAGTTGGATGGATGGATGGATGGATGGATGGACGAATGGATGGACGGATGGACAGTTGGACAGTTGGATGGACAGTTGGACAGATGGATGGATGGATGGATGGACAAATGGATGGATGGATGATGGATGGACGGATGGATGGACAGAGTCTTGAACCAGCAGGGGACACAGGTCTCTGCTGAGACCTTCAGTTAAACTGATCCAAACCATCAGGGAGGAGCAGGAGCAGGAGCAGCAGGAGCAGCAGGAGGAGGAGCAGCAGGAGCAGCAGGAGCAGGAGGAGGAGCAGGAGGAGGAGCAGCAGGAGCAGCAGGAGCAGGAGGAGGAGCAGGAGGAGGAGCAGAGCTCGCTGCTTTGTGGCCAAATGTTCACTAATGGTTTGTTTGTTACAGAGGAGCTGATTTCTGACTTATTTACAGCCCAGAGGAACAATAAATAAAGCATTAGTCCTGCAGTGTGAAAACCTTTGTTTCTCCCAGTCTGACCACCAGGTGAATAATTAAAACCAGTATAAATGCTGACACTGAAACATAAAGGTAAAAAGGTAAAGGTGCATTATTTGTCATCAGTGTATGTTTCCACACAATGACGAAATTGTGCTCTGCATTTAACCCATCCACACCCAAGTGGAGCAGCGGGCAGCCATGTGAGGCGCCTGGGGAGCAGTTAGGGTTAGGTGTCTTGCTCAAGGACACCACGACATGTGGGCATGGCGGGGAGTCGAACCTAAGACTTTCGGGTCCCAAGCCGGCTGCTCTACCACTAAACCACAGCCGCCCCTAAACATGTAAACATGCAGCTGCTTTGCTCCTGTTAATCTGCTGAAAATAAAAGAAATCTGAAACATTGTTGGATAAATCCTGATGAGTTCATTCAAACCTGCAGCTCATTTATTTCTTCATCACTTTCAGCCGCTCAGCCGAGTCACTGTGCCTCTTTAAAACATGCTCCAGGTGTGCAGTCTGACAGGACAGGTGTGTGCAGTCTGACAGGACAGGTGTGTGCAGTCTGACAGGACAGGTGTGTGCAGTCTGACAGGACAGGTGTGTGCAGTCTGACAGGACAGGTG